AACCCCCCCCCCCCCCCAACACACCTACACTTTCGATCGCATTTGTTTCTATTGCAGCACATCGTTCCAAAAGTTCCTTATGTAATGCGTGATCTTGATGCCAGCATGTTCAGAGGCAACAAAAGCATGTGTGAACAGTAATAATCTTGGATTACTTCCTAAAGAATGTTTACCTTGAACAAGATTTTAACTTAAAGTGTATTCTGCAAAATTACAAAAGTTTATACGTCATTCGGAGAGTAAGTGTAACAATTGAGCCGTTTATTTTGAAACTGGCATAAGTCACTTTACCGTAATGAAAAGTGGTGATTTTTTAATATTTATACGTAATTATTTATACTGAGAAAAATATCACAGTATCCTGAGATAACAAATACAAGTATTAATATTATATATACCATATATATTATTATCATATTTTTAAACGTGTTAAAACGCAAACCCTTCAACATGTCGACTTAAAAACAAAGTGAATTATGCCACTTTCAAAATAAACGGCTCAATTGGTGCCTCAAGACAAGTCTTCCATACAAAACAGACGAAGCTACGTCTTCCTAAATTCTTCACCTAGAACCAAACTACGCTACCAAAACCTACATTCTACCTAGAACAATTATAAACAATTTCATTCCTTCCTAAAGATCTCGATGTAATAATTATCCATCACGAGGGTTAAATACAAGGATCTATCGGCAGCTTCCAAAACCGAACGGATCCTCGGAGGGGCGACAAAATCCCTTACAGATAAGAGCTAGGGGGGAGCCACCCCAAATATTTGTCTTGGAGAAAAATCGATGAGGTCTTCTCGCGGCTGAGAGCCAGGCAGGTTCACCGTGCCGAGATGAAGAAGTATTTAATGGAAATCGCGGGAAGAGTTGTAAAATCAGTTGTACGGCTGATGTAGCAGGCCGGGCCCGGCCTCGGTGGCGGTGTTTATGCGTCGCAGGAATCTCGCTGCCGATCGGCCCGAGCGATCCATGTAGGGTGAGGTCGTACGGTTCGGCTTATTGTCAGCGGAATGGATGCTTGCGCAATATCAGGAACGCCGTCCGATGGCCACTCGATATCGGGGAAGCTGGTCACGCTAACTATACACGCCACCAGCGCGCCGGGTCGAGCCGAGATCGGTATGTTTCCTCGCGGGCGGGTTCAACCCTCGGGGCGGGTCGCGGCGGGTCTTTGCCGTTGGAAACTCGCGAAAGGTAATCGGTAATCGCGCAGCGTTCCTCCGATGGCTCGCGATGTTTCCGAGCATTCTTGCAGAGGTGGATGCCTGGACGACACACGCGACACCGGATCGGCAACCGTTTAATCGGGCTTAATTGCCACACGCGCGACTGCTTATTGACTAAACTTCGGCCGTCACGCGGCTGCGATTGAGACATAGTTCTCGTTCGCTGCGCGAACAGAGGGGTTTAGCGAGATAGGGGAGCCGCTTCGAATAATTAGGGACCGTTTACGAGAACGACTTTGTCGTTCTCCGAGGTAATTAAGCCCACGGCGGTGTCTCTGCGACGGAGGGATTCTGATTGGATCGGGGGAGTTTGATGAATTTATGACGCCGCGTAATCCTGATCTTTGTATCTTATTCAACGGTGTTGCAGATCAAATCGAGGACAGGGATAGTGCGAATTATTTATCGATCGCTGGTCTCGGTAGAAAGTTAGTTAAGAGTAATTTCTACTGTTTTTAAAATCGATGCGAAATGTTCGCGTTGCTACTATAGGTAATTTAGTCCACATACGATGCTCTTTAGACAACATTTTCAGTGTATTATATCGTTAACTAAATCCGTGTCTAAAGCACTTTATGAAAGGACACATTATTTAGGAACAAACTCTTAATTCTAACGAAGTTCCAAATAAAAGTACATGAAAGAATAGTTTTACAATAAGCAGGATCTTTTATTGTGATAAATGTCAGATCACGATCTGACCGTCGATAATAATAATTACAAAGAATGAACAGAAACGAGCCAATAAACAAAGAAAGACCGAATTAAAATCGATAAAAATGTATTACAAACAAAATATATTAAAGAAAGTTACGCCAGGAGTATTCGTGGTACCCTGACCAATGACGAACGATTTGGCATCGCGAACTGTTTAAACATGTCGAGTGTGAGAATTGCACTTACCATTCTCTTCGAGGCCCCTCCTCGCCTCCTCGCCGACCCTGTCGCCCTGATTGTCCCCCGCTAGGTCGTCCTTCTCCTTGTTATCCTCCGAGTCCGTGAGAACCGCGTCGTCGTCATCGTCCGTCTTGTTCTTCGGCTCCCATGTCATCTTGTTCTCTTTCTTGAGGCGCCGTCGCGCGTTGGCGAACCAAGTCGAGACCTGCGTCAGCGTCATCTTCGTGATGATCGCGAGCATGATTTTCTCGCCCTTCGTCGGGTACGGGTTCTTCTTGTGCTCGTTCAGCCAGGCCTTCAAGGTCGCCGTCGACTCCCTCGTCGCGTTCTTCCGCCGCGCTGCCAAGTCGTATCCGGCGCCATATCTGAAACGCCAGGACAATATGCATTATTCATTGCACGTATCGCTCGCAAAAGTGGACGCGGTTGCTAGATAAACTCATTAAATGTGCTGTTAAAAGAACCGCTGTTTCATTTTGATCGCGTATCTTCTTAGCCGATCTTGTTTATTTGCTTTTCTAATTGTCGGCGATAATTTCGTGAATTCGCGACGATTGCTGTCAAGTTCTTTGGATTTTCGGTATACTTCGTTTCCAATAAGTTAGATAAAGATGCTGATCGAGACGTATAATTGGTAATGAAAACGACTGCACTCATGTTTGAAATAATTGCATGCTATTTGTTCCAACGTAGTATTCGAGTAGAACCTATGAATAATTTTTTAACGCTACATGACTCGGTATAACTACGAAGTCACATACCTATTTATCTTGTTTTTTAGCCACAATGTTGCAAAGATATCTTGCTCTGTTGCTTTCTCTTCATAATTAGGGGGATTATGCATGATTATAAACTGGTTTTATAAACTGGTTTTACATTATAAACTCTTTGGATTTGTTAATTCGTCGTTAATTTTCATGCGAAGATTGATATTTTCTGGTTTTTAATTAACTTACGAATAGACCGCGGATTTTTATGCGAAATAAAAATTGTCCAACTTGATTGCGAGAAACGTAAATCAGATGAAAATATGTTTCCACTTTTAATAATTTTAATAAATTACGTGTAATATAAAAATATATTCTCAGATTCTTCTCGTGTCTTTACAATTTTGCTTCTGACCCGATCATTTGTTTCAAAAATGCATAAAATCCGTGATCTACTTATGAGAGTTATTTTCTTCCTCGTTAATTTTTATGTATTGCGTAACTTATTTATACAATTCCTTTTAAGCTGGTCTTTCCTATTCAGGTCACCATCGGCGTCGTCGTTTTATGCAATACGTTACGGAGCCTAAACCATCTTCTTCCATCAACTACAGTTCATCTAATAATTTTCTTTAAACATTCCTAATAATTCTGTGCGAAACGAAGATGAATACTAAAGCTACTACCACAGCCGCTCCATTAGACAACAATTTCAAGCACTTAAAGTCTTCTAAGATAGGTTCCAGATGTCCTAAGACTCTTCGTTTAACCCCTTAATGCACAATTTTTTTAAATGTAAAAAAACACACTTTAGAACGTTGTCTTGGCAAGAAAATTACAAAAATACAAAAATGATCAAAATTTTTATTGCAATTTTGGATTTTGATAACATTGCAGAAAATAGTCGAATATTGTAATATTACACGCACACACACACATCGTCTTTTTTTATCTTTCTGTTCGAATTCCCATTTCAGAATAAACATTATTATCGGTAAAAATATTTATTTATACTTTTAAAACATAAATAATAACAATACCAGTATTTATAATATTTATTATTATATTTATATATATATATATATATATATATATATATATATATATATATATATATATATTTATATATATATATTAATATTTATATTTTATTTTACATTATATTTTAGTAAAATATATATTGAAAAATGAGCGAATCAGAATCTGAATATGAATACGCTGTCGGAAAGCAGCTCACAAGGAAGAGATAAGTCGTCGTAAGTGTGTGTGATAAGTAGAAGAAGGATATATTTTATACTTGAATAAGTAAATGTTATAGCTTACAATCCCATGTAAATGATAAATATCAATAAAACGATTGTTCTTTTTTTGCTCACATTGTTATTCTCAATTCTCGATTGCATTCGAGTGTGAAAAATTATAGCAACATAAAGTACAACGCCGCTCGAATTATCTCGAGTGTGCACAGTTCGGCCAGTTTAGCGCGCTCGAGTTAACTCGAGCGTGCACGTTAAGGGGTTAAAATAAGAAAACAAATCTGAGAAGTTCATTTCGAAAAAGTAGTTTCCTCGTCGAAACGAGAACGGAAGACACCGGTCGCCGCGAAAGACCGGTCGCATTTCAATCGCGGGCCAATCGGGCGTGCGTCGAAAAACGTAATCATTGTTGAACATTTGTCGAGCCGGGGCACTCCACTCGAAAAGTGGTATCCTGTCGAGGGTGCGAATTCCCCGCAGATTTCGGCGAGTCCGAAGTGCTCGACGCGAGGCCCCAGCCTCCTAGATCTGGCCCCTCTCCCTGCGGGCTGCTCGCCGGAGCATCGAACCCTCCGGGATAAGGGGCGACATCCTACTGGGTCGAGGGTGATACTCCGGCAAATATATACGGAGAATAAACCCCCAGCGGCGGCGTGATTCCATCGAGCAACCCCCGGCACTCACTCGCCGTAATGGCGATTCGATCGATCCCCCCACCCCGTCCGCCTTCTCGTTCCCACCCCCTTCCCACCACCGCCTCGGCGGAGCTCTTTCTCGCTCGCCTATTCTTCGCCGGGTGTCCCGCTTCCTCCCCATTCGAGGACCCCACGCGAGGCTGTTATAGGTATGTACTATTATATACCGGAGCCTAAAATACCTATCGACGATCCATCGGCCGTGGAAGGGTGGCTAGTGGTAGTAGTGGTGCTAGCGGTAGTAGCGGCACCAGTGTTCGAGGCGGTGGTTACCGGCGACATTGTACCCGCACCGTGACGCGAGACCTGACGGGTACTCGAATGGAGGCCCTGTCACAGACGAGCAACAACGGCCTAATGAAAACCGTGCTCTGGGAACGGCTGCTGGTTGGCCGATATTGCAGCGGACATCTTGTTCCAGGTAGATCCGGTTTGAATGAAGGAATTATTTCGGACGAAGATGTTTTGTCTACGATTCGAGGGCTATCGAGGGAAGAAACCTTGTTTCTTTATTTGTCGTTCAGAGTTTTTTATTGAACGAACAATTTGGCTCGATTCTGTCAATCGAGGTTGGTATCGTACCGAGAGATCTTTATGCATTTTTGTAAATTATTCTGTGGGGGTAGAACGAGGGTAAAATGTCTTTTGGTCGGTAGTAGATTTCTTGGTTGAAAATTAAAACGAATACGGAATTTAAAACGATGCCTAGAACGCTGCGAAGAATTCATTCTACAGGGTAAAAAGGTATATGACTTATAAATGGATGGTCGTTCACGTTGAGGGACATTAATGTTTTTTTTTTATTTCACGCGCTCTAATTTTTTAGAATATCTACAGTCCACTCTGCAATGTTTCATTACGTTTCCACAACTGCATTCGCAATATACAGATTCCGAGTCAAGCGTAGGGGATGAAGTTAATGTATACAGGGTGGAGCACTTAAATGGGGACACTGAAATGTCCTAGTTATTTATGTTCACATAAAAAAGCTCATAATAAAATTACGCGCTCCTGAGAGGCACGTGTAACGATAGAAAAGAGTCAATCGACAAGCTCTCGATCCATTTGTTTGTTTATAAAATCCTTTCGATAATAGTATCTACTTTCTTAACTTACTATGAAACGATTTATATTTGAAATATAAAAATATACCACGAAGTTGTAAATTACAGTGTCGTTGAACATTGTAATTATTATTATTATATATATTATTATATATAATTAATTAATTATATAATTATTATATTTCGAGATTTATTTATTCATTTATTATATTTATTATTATATTTATATATGTTGTATATATTATGTATACATTTTTAAAACAACAAAAAACGAAAGCATAAGATATGGTGAATAGCGGGGAATCAGTGAATCGGGTAAACAATGCACAATGTTTTGTTTTATATCTGGTAACACTGGATTCAAATATGTCAATCTTATCACGAATGTATGCGTTCTGTAAAATCGAACTACATCTTGACGAGTACTGCGAGATTTTGAAGAGTAGGATTGACCTCGCAAAACGAGACGGAGTACGAAAATTTACAAGCGAAATAACGCTAGGATTGTTAGTTACACCATGCACAACTTTATATAAAAATATATATTGTCCAATGTGAATCTTGATAATCCGACGAAACAGCAAATGAATGAACGAAACTGTAAACTCCCGAACCTGGTCAAAATGTTACTTATATGTATGTATGCGACCGACACGGTGAAACCTATTAAAAACCGTGTTAAAAATGGGAAGCCGAAACATCCCAAGACTTTGGAGGCACTAAAAATGGTTAACGTATGAAAACGGGTCAACTATCAGCGACGGATCTTTCAGAGCGATTATTTCTCGTGGTTTTCTTGAAAACCAATGGTCGGACGAAGGCGAACGTTTAGGCGAACGTACAGGGCAGCGTGTTGCGACAATGCCGCGGGTTCCCGGCGGAATCTCTGAGCTCCAAATTGAGTGGCATTGTCGACATAACGCCCGGCGATATTTTCGGGGATAGTTGGGTCGTTCCGCGGCGGTGAAACGCCGAGATTAGATCACGTCTAAACTTATAGCCCGAGACGGAAGATTTCATCGGGCCATTTGTTGCGGCCGAACAGAGGAATCGGGCCCCCGATGGCCCCCACGATCGTAAAGCGCGATTTAGAAGCGGAAAACGTCTCCATTTGAATAAACTCGTGCCCCGTGTAAAAAGGACCTTTTGATGATCTCGTCCGGCCGGGACGTAAAACACGATAGATTCCCGTGCAAACCGAGAAACCGGCCGTAAAATTTTCGACGGTATTGACCACGGTTGCTAGGGGAAGGGGAGGGGGGGGGCGGTTTATTTATCACGGGGCCTCGCGACCGCCAAATTACGACGCGTTATTTTGTCAATTTATGGACCGCGATAAAACGCAACGTTCCCCTTTTGTTCGGGTTCTGCGCGGTTTCGAGCCACTGTCGCTTTTAATAATCTTCACGTTGTCGGAAAGGTACCCTTCGCCGGCGGGTTCGGGTTTATCGAGGGTTGCTTATGCTTTTAAAATGTTTCCTTTTTCGGCATATTGTGTTACATCAAATCGGCGCCGACTCTTCTTCTGCTAAAGCTGTGCTGACAGCTACGACGCCGTTGCGGGATTTAGAATCATTTCGCCGACTGTTGCAGCTTCGAGAATGACAATATTTTTCGTGGAATACACAAGGTACAGGCGTTTA